TAACAAATCATACCTCAAGCCATCTACATTTACCATTTTGCTCATCATCTTAATTTGGTCATTGTAGAAAGCGTGAGATCTGTTATCAAACCTCTTGTAGCCCATTATAGGCTGAATGTTGAGAACATAAAAATGGAAATGAGACAAGCTAAGAGAATGAATGACTGTTCAAATGCAACATTTGGAGCAGTTGAGGAGTTTGTAGAACATCTCAAACCCCTATTTATGGTTTTTAATGAACTCTTCCAGTTAGCACAGCAGGCTGTGAAAGGAGCTTTATCAAGCTAAAACTGATAAAAAATCATGTTAAAACCAATATGATAGATAAGAGATTGAAGATTCGAACAGTAATTAGTGTGCACAGAAAACACTTTTTCCATTGATCTTGATGATGTTGTTGATAGTTTCAGTACTAAGTTTCCAAATACAAGGTTAACATTGGTTTAAAGACGAAGAGGGAGATCATTCTGGTTGGTGTCTTGGTAAGTTCATGCTTTTGACCATTATTCATCAATCCACTTTTAAAGGGACTATGCTATCCCCCCAAAGCTAAATATGCAAGAATGGTAGAAAACCTTCTGATCCTTTCCAAGGTCTGTGAGTACTTTGGGGATTCAAAATTCAATACAAAGTACTTTTTGAAACCTAACATTGGCTCAATGTAATTTAGCATGCCAGACAGGAATCAATAAAAGTTCCCAAATGGTTAAAAAATTAGGCTGTTTGAAGATAGGACTTAGATTCTTTCATAATCCATCCCAAAAGCATGATGAAGTCCAGAGTTTATTGCATATCCAATCAGACACAAGACTAGAAAGATAATAAAATTAATCACTCAAGTAATGATGAAAAATCTATCCCCTACCTACTGATGAATAACAACAACAAAAAAGATGCCTTGGACAACCCTGGTGAAACAAAGTAGTTAAAATCAAGCTGAAGTGAAGAGACTGAAACTGAAAACCAAATTAGGCTCTTTTTTTTTTAGACAAATTAAAGGTAATAACACAAATAACAGATCAATGGGAATATGGAAATTAACATCTGCAATATCAATTCTGTCATCTTTCAAGTCTTCAAGTAGGTGGGTATATAATTGATAGATGTTCTACATTTTGAAATGACTCAAAGATGAGAATTTCAAAAACAGTTGCCAATCTTCTCAATGCATGGGAACCATGACAAGAAAACAAACATCTGATGGGATTGAACTCCTCCACAATTTTACATCTTTTTTTTACTTTATGACCCAAGAGACTGAAGATGAAACTGGTCTTCAGGTGACAGATCCCATTAAAGGTGTAGGCTTTCTACATTGGCTCAAGGAACTATGTGATCTTAAAGTTAACATTTTCCTTACCTAAAAATCTATTTCTGATAGATACTCATATCTTCATACAGAAAGCTATCTTCCCCGTGTGTTGTCTCAGAGATTTGCATGCCACTAGTCTTAAGGCAACTCCCACCTAAACTCAAGATTTCTTGCTACTGCATAATGATGTTATTATGCAGCAAAAGACCTCCACCAATAGGAGGAGGACACAAACTTTCTGCACATTGGCTCCCTCTATGCTTTTGTACTTGTGATCTTCATTCTGTGATGAAGCAAGGAATACTAAGGTGAGAAAGAAAGGTGGGAAGTGTGTGAAGAGTTGAGTATCTGTTGAAAATACATTGCTTTTAGGTAAGGAAAATGTGAATTTCCTAGGTGATACACATCTCTGTACATAGAAAGTTAAAATCCCACATTGATATGGTGGAGGGACTGGTACAAAAGTTACTTAGATTAGTTTCCTTCAGAAAGTGGCCAAAGGAAACCCACGATGTTTGACACCAAATGGCAGGGGCTCCAAAGGGATTCTTGGGAGTATACTCTTCACCCAGATTGGAAGGAAGGTAGAGGTAAACATGCCCATGTGTCACGAGTATGGGTGAAAAAAATAACATGGTCATCCAAGTACTCAGAAAAGGTCAGGGAGCCAATGTGTGTAGCCAATAATGTTTGGGGCACATTCAGACTGTACCAAGTGTTCCCCTCAACTCTTATCGCCAGACTTACTGGACCAATTCCAGTTACAGGAGGAGGGCACAGGAATTATGAGTTTGTGTTGTTCTCAACTCTACCATCAAACTCTTGAACTGACACCAGCTGCAGGAGGAGTGAAAAGAATACATGCCAGTGGTGTGTGACTTGCCACAACTATACTGTCAGACTCTTGGACTGACACCAACTATGAGAGGAGAGCAAGATGTGTAAGTGCTTGCTCACCTCAACTCTACCATCAGACTACTGGACCAACACCAGCTGCGGGAGGAGGGCACATAAGTCACGACATATGATATATAAAATAAAGAGTGCATGTGTCAAAATCCACTGGACAATTATTTGCTGCAGGAGGAGGGCACAATTTGTTTGTAAGTGCTCAACTTATCTGAAGGGGAGATGTTTGCAGGTTGGGGGGGGGGTCCCAACTGTCTTCACCTCATGACCAAGAAGCAGAAGGGAAAGCAAATTCCATTCCAACAACCCAGGCAGAACACATCTGTGCAGATCCAATACACAACCAACACCTGGCCATCCTGGAACCTGACAATCAGGCAATGATGGAAGAAAGGAATACAATGCGGCAAGTCAACTCTGACCAAAAACCAGGTGGGGTCAGAAATTTTTTTGTCTAGTCTGCAATAGGAGAAGGATCTCTACCAACCACACCAATCCAACACCAGGCCACCAAGGAACCAACATCTAGGAGGCACTAGGATGGGGGACACTGGCAGGTTGTTGGTATAATTATATGAGAGGTGACATGTGCTACAATGACAGTGTCACCACCACCTCACATACTACTGATTGACTCCCTTTGTTTAGCCCCTGGCTGTTAGGTTCCAATCAGTGAAGGTTCTCCATGGTCCATCACCCCAGTGGCTATGAATCAGTAAGTGGTAAGAGTCTCCCTTGCTCCGCTTGAAGAAAAAGGGGAGGAATTTGCAGTGAGGAGAACCAGAGAAAAAAACTTGGATCCCCATCAGTCCTTCAGCCAAAAAGGTCCTTTACTAGACACAATACAATGTAACCCTATTTTGAAAAGCCAGCATGTGCATGCCAGGAAAGCAGGCAGAACACCCCCTGGTACTGGATTTTTCCTTGATTGTCCATGGAATAGGTATGGTCTGGATCAGACAGAAGACAAATATCAGAATATATGCTAAGGATACATCACATGGTCTTGCAAAACACCCCATCTCAATAGTGAGCATATATGGAGCCAGATGGTATGAGCACTTTCCATTATCCTGGCATGATGTAGAATTTTGGGAAATAAGTCTACCCTGGGAAGCACCACCAGCCAGCTGGCAGAATCCTTGAAGCAAATGTTATAAACAAAGGGAAATGTACTCACCCATCTAAAGACAGTAGGTAGATTATATGACAGTGAACAGAAGCAGGTAGTGACCCTGGGACTATAGAAAGCCAGATGGCAAAGAGAGTGGGTGACAAAGGTATGATCTTGTCCAGCAGCAGACAGAAATGAGCAGTGAGAGAATGAGAGAGGTAGCGAATCTGATGGAACAAAATACATATCACCTGTGAGCAATAACCTTGAAAGAGGCTGAAATCAACCAAAGAATGTGGCAGACCATACCATTAAAGATATTAGGAGAATTGCTCTGGAGGAAGAGGAATCTCAGGGAATCTAGAGTGAAAAATGGAAACCCTGAAAGTGAGAGGTATGAGTTAAGTAGCAACAAATAGAACAAACAAGAGAGAAAAGTCCATCTAGGTCCTAATGAACATGGAAAGGCAGGAGAGAGAAGTAAAGCAAAGATCTCCCCACTGGAAAACCAGTCAGGAGAAATAAGAATATGAGAATGATGGAAAGGATACAGGACAATTTACTAGCATAAAAATGTGAACAATGGCAACCAGAAGAGAGAAGAAAGAGAAATATGTCTGAAGAGAAGGTGGTAGAAGTTGCTGGTTGCCAATGGGCATAGGTAAGAGTGTGCAGGATGACACTAAGGTCCCAACTGGGCACAGGAACAGGGCAAGAGTGTCTATGAATAACGAAGGACTGGAACAAGGTGGAGAGAACAGGGGAGAAAACACCTTGTAGTAACTAGCAAGAAAATTGGGGAGGTCAATGCTGTTCAATAACTGGCAAAGGTGTAGACAGCAGAACAGTCTAGAAAAGAGAAGGGAGAGGTCTGACAATAGAATGATTAGGAGAAAAGTGGTGATTAATGGACCAACATCAAAAGCCAATGCTCCCCACGTGGGTAGAAGGGCCATGTAGAATGATGCCTGTAAAAGGAAAGGATTACCAGATGGGAAAGTCTGGTTCAAGAGTGTTGGATGGGACAAAACCAAACATGAAAGTGGAAGGACAAGATCCCATGATGGAAGGAGACAGTAGATGATGAAACAATAGTATTTAGAGTTGGCAGGGGGAAGAGGGTTGGGCTGTCAGGTGGTATAGAAAAAAGAACCAAGGGTAAGCTTTCCAAAGAGTACCACCAAGAGGAAACAACAAGGGTCTCTAATCATGGCCAAGACCCAATGGAAAGGCCAGAAAGGTGGGTGAGCATTAAAACAAGTAAAATACCAGACCCAGCAAAAGGCAACAACAGCCAGGTCCAGGAGATGGAGAACAGATGATCACAAGAGAGGATGCATGAAAGTGAGAGGGTTGGCTAGGCAAAGATGAGTGAAGTCCTCAAGAGAGCACCCCGAATGAGAAGAGACATTCTGGGAGCAGTACA